CAGCCTCGGTGCCATGGTCCATTGCTTCAACTTTATACAATATATCTATAATGGAAAATAAAGAACACAAAAAGCAATTTATTAAAAGAAAAATTTGGTTTTTGAGCGAATGCATGCACTGTGTCATTTGGCCTCATAACAACGTCACTAGAACAAAGAACAAACCATAAAAATAAAAATAAATAAAAATAAAAATACCCCACTATGGGTGCAACTTTGTTTTGAACACTGAAGTTCTGATGAATTCAAAACGCCATTTTAACTATTATATACAAAAAACATTCCTGTTTGGATTTGTTATTTTTATGGCTTGACGTGTGGAATGTGAATTTTGAATTCATTAATGAACATTATGCCTTCAAGCCCAGTCATGTCCTAAAAGTGTGAATGTCTGCATCTTCTTTCAGAGTTTTCATTATTTTTCAAAGCCTTATTTATTTATTTTTAAGTGCTAGAACCGTTTTGCATTAAACAGAATAGTTAAATACATCTAATGTACAATGACAGACTTATATACTCTAAATGTCGACTGATTTTCTGCTGCTTCTCCTGGTCCAAGTTACAGGGGCAGCATTCTAGTAGAGACACACAGTGTATTCCTAAATAAGTCAGAATTTCCAAGTTCCCAGTTGAAATTTGAATCTGGAATGCCCCCTCAACTTGGATTTTCTACTTGGAACATCAGCGCAGCCCCACAATCCCAGAGCTAACAATCCAAGATGTCTGCACTGAGCATAAACACTAGTAAAGTCTAAGACATTCATGGCTCCATCCATGAATGTTTTGCAGCAGGTTTTTAAGGGGGAAAAAATATTATAAGAGTAACGTCACTCCCAAGTTCTGACATCCAAGTTACGAAATATCTGGAATGTGGAATAACTAACCATCCGCATCAGCCCTTTCCAGGGGTACACCAAGACATTATCAAACTAGTAGAGAGATCTCTCCAGTGTATCCTGGTCTACTCCGGGTGTCCTCCTGGTGAAACCTGCCTGAAACACTACACCTAAGGTGTGTCAAGGAAGAATCCTAGTCAAGTGCCCAAAACACTGGAATTGCCTGAAAAGCTCATTTAAGCTGTTTGCATGACCATAGCTGAGGACAGGAACAGAGACTGTTAAACTGACAGTTTAACTTTAATGCTCAGGACTCTTGTCACTACGACCAACTGGTACCACAAGCACCACACTGCAGATGATGCTCAAATATGATCTTCTGCTCCCTTCATCCCTCACTACTATATCAGGGGTGGGGGATCTCCAGGACTCAAGGGCAGGTGTCCTCCAGGTTTCAGATGTGTCCTTGATCCAACACAGCTGATTCAAATGGCTAATTTACCTCCTCAACATGTCTCAACATTCTCCAGAGGCCTGGTAATGAACTAATCGCTTGATTCAGATGTGTTGACCCAGGGTGATATCTAAAACCTGCAGGACACTGGCCCTTGAGGCCTGGAGGTCCCCACCCCTGTACTACATACTTTAACTACTCCACTTGGGGCAGCAACTCACTCCCGGGGTGATCTGGTAACACTTGCTCTTGCTTTAAAATTTTACTCACCAGAAGAAAATACCAAAAGTTGCTCTTCAGATTTAGTTTTAAATCTAACAAATGCTAAAAAGGAACATTTTAAATGCAGACATTAACTAAAAGCACATTAACTCACATCACAACAGAAAACAGTTAAATTTAATCGATGAATGACCCTAAAGTAATATGGTGGAATTAATGTTGACACTACTGAGCTCTAGAAAACGAAGATTTGACACACCTAACACCGGAGTAAAAAGAAATTAAGAATACTATTAGTGAGGTTACTTGTATCTGTCATTTGTCACCGTCAAACTTCGACCAAGCTCTTAAATAACAGATTGGGCAACAAGTTTTCTGAAGACAGAATCTTTTTACAGGAAATAGAGTGCTGACATGACAAGAAGAATGTGAGACTCAAGGCCATTTAAGTGTAGCTGAAATCAGACACATAGCACATTTTACTCATACGAACAAAGTGTAACTATGGGTTACACTTTGACCTGTTTACGCAGAACTGGGCAACAGAACTATAAATTCCCCTTGTAGTGGTGACAAGACTGTCACATGAGCCACTGGATAACTTAAAACAACTACTTCACCTGTGAGGCACTTAAAACTCCCAAAGATCGGCTTAATTTAAAAAAAAAAAAAAAAAGTGCGGCTGTTTTGGATTTGTGACTACTAGATCAGAAAAGTCTGACACCAAAAATAAAACTATGGAACTATATTTGATCAGATGTTTGATGTGTGTACATTGTAACTGCATGTATCACTAGTTTTGCAGTATTTTTTGTCGTTTTGAACTTTTATGCACCGAAAGGTTAACTGAATTCATCGCAATTTAGGAAGTTTGCCTCGTTTACGCCACTTTCAGCCACATTGTAACCAGTGTACAGCTGCATTTTTCTTCACGCTCACACTGAAAAACTACGAAACATTTCTGCACCATGTTTTCGCGTCTTGCTGGCTCCCTTTAAATTAAGAACATACAGTAGTGATTAATTTGAAATGAAACATGCCCGGCAGAGCAGAAAACACCACTTTTAAAATACAATGCTACCGTGGAATCTTAACACATACCGAAACTTTAACTCCACCCACCTTGGCAGACTCAGTCCGCTAACTAGCCGGTGCTGAATTCCGGTTAGCCACACTGCTACTGGGCTAGCGTTAGCAGGCTAACACAATGGTGTATCACCATTCAGTATGTCTTTCTTTCTCAAGATAAAATCATCCACTTCCACGCTGGTCGAGTAAGGCACAAAATATAACTGTTATATCCAGACCTTCATATCATTTTAAACCGGTGTGCTGTCGGCTACTTCATCTGGTGCTATGCTAAGCTAGCGCCGTTACAGTAGAGCACGCTACAAGCCTTGTACTTCTCCAGCTAGTGTTGATGAGCTACATATATATGTTTCGTCTACGTTACAGAGCAGGCGCGAAGTAGCTAGGCAACGTCAGATAGGTGCAGCGCATTAATCTCCGTTGCATTTATATCTCTACATTGCCCGGTACAATATCCCTTACATGTAAGTTACCAAGAAAAACCTTACTTCGACTGTCGGGCTACTCTGTCATACATACCTAACACACCAGTACTCTAAGACTGGGTGTTGTAGTTTTTCAACATTTTTGTCTTGGTATTCTCCGGTATTGTGTCAACAACCACCCAGTAGGGTACATCGGACACTTTACCATGGATTTTTTTTTTCTCCACGGTTGACCAATCATGTGTTACTAAGGCGTTTTCTTTGTCGCTGCCATCCAATTGGAGGGGTTTATTTTTGAAAAGGCGGGATTAGTATACCCGTCAATCATTCTCAGGAGGAGGGGGAAGGATCACAGAAAGAGCTAGGCTAGAGGAGCTACTCAACAAGGCAAACAGCAGCTCTGCGAAAACGACTTTTACCCATCCGCATCCAACATCATTCGGTGGCCAACGGACGACGTTTAAATCTGTCGCATTTTTCTCATAAATGTTCCTATGGATTACTAATCCACTTTCGTCGAAAACCAGAGGTGTTTTTCAACTTGACAGCATAGGTAAGCCTGCTTTTGTTCGGCAGAGCCGTTGCTATTTAGAACATTTTACTAGCTTGCTTCCCTGCTGCTATCAAGCCAACCTTGACGTTAGCTAACTTGTTAACTAATGCTGTGTTGTGTTTATGGAGGGTGGTTTAGAGGAATGAATGAATTTGGCGACAGGGCAGTAGAAACCTGCAGATTAAAAAAAGAAAAGGAAAAAAAAACTTGTTCAGTTCGATAACAAAGTTAAGCCGTAGCCAGCCAAATTAGGCGGATGAGCGCAGTGAAAGGTTATGCTACTCCGTGGCTGAATAGTTTCAAGTGTGCTGGACAGGCTCCGGAGTGTTGTGTTGTTGAGCGGAGGAATCCTCGGGGACGCTGTCGTCGAGTAGCGCCTGCCACGGTGCTCGCGAATAGCCATTTAAACAAAAAAAAGTGATATTACCCGAAACAATCGGTGAGTTCTTATTAGCGTGACGAGATCTGTCGAGCAGCGGGCGGACGATATAGTTAAACGGAGGTAAAATGCATTGTCAGGCTTTCCTTTTGTGCCACCAGTAACGTCTGGCTCCTCACGACTGACTTGTCCAATGTAGGTTGGAGCTACCGTGTATCAAGGAACTCGCCCATTTGATCAGTTGTGGGGATAAAAATCAGCTCAAAGGTTGTCCATATTTCCCCACCTACTGCTAGTGATGACTTGTTATTCTCGGTGTTGTGGGTGCTTGACCAGTATTTTTTTTTTTGTGGTTATTATTATGTTACGTATGTTAAGTAACAAACTGCTTGGACGTGAATCACTAGTGGAGAGGTTTAAATGAGCTCGACGCTCTAGTTGATCACTGTAGCAGCTTTTAGAACAGGAGAAAAGACTACCGAGCCTCGAAGCTTGTACGAGTGTGTTAACGTTGTTGGGAATGGTGCTAGCAGTGGTGGTCAGTCCACTCACTCGCATCGGCTCGGTCTAGCAAATTGTCTGGGGCGGATGACATTGTATCCTCCGTGAACTAAACCAAAAGAGGACTGCGACCTTGGCTTGTGTTACAACAATAAAATTGTGTGTTGGTGGTGGTGGTGGTGATTTTGGGGGGGGGGATTAACGCGATGTTGCTGCGTTGCAAGTCTTCGAGCTTGACCTTGTTGCAAACCGTTTCGTCGACTTGTTTCTTTGTCGGGAGCAAATCTCCACTCATCGCTGCTCCGTGAACGTTCAGCGAAATGCCACAGTAGAGCATTCCGTTCAGAAAGTGACTTCCAATCGGTCTGCACGGCCGAGCTTCACTTTTTTTCTTTTTTCGGGGGGGGGGCTCAACTTGACGTGTTTTGTACTACCAGGGCGGTGATATGACATATCTGTAAAGGTTTTTGGGGTCTAGCTACTGTGTTATTATCTCGCTCCCTCGCTCTACATTTATATATATATTATTTATTTATTTATTTATTGCCGTCGAGCGCACTCTCCGCAGAGAGCAGTGCACCGACACCGAGGGAGAGAGAGAAGCGAAAACGAAAATGGATGGTCTCGGTGCAGTTTTCCTGTAACAAAAAACACAGCGTTATCCCAGTCTCCGATGAGAGAAATGGCCGTGACACGGGCAGGTGACTTGCGACCGCGGTTCCCTGGATTTTCCCAGTGTTTGCCTGCTCAACTGTTCTCCTTTTCTAGCTTACTGTCAGCTACAGAAATGGCGTCATCCTCTGCTGTAGCGTTGGTATAGTCAGTGCAGTGCAGACAGCAGGCACACCACGCTGCCGTGTACTCGGAGAAACGAGCGCCGTGCGGCTGTTAACACTGTCCATCACTCCATTAAACAGCTACAATATTATCCATCTGTGCACACAAACAGACACACACACAGAGGAAGCCTTTGCTTCGAGTAGCGACTAGTTACTTTGTTTGTGCTCGCCGTTCTTAGTCACAAGCCAAGTCTGGCTGACTAGCGCTGACTGACTGACTTACAACAGTGTGCGCTGGGCATTACATAAACGGCTTTAAAGGCTCTGCGAATGAGCGATCAGCCTGCCACGGTGTACTTTGCAACACATATTATTGGACTGGAAAGCTCCCGTACACACACATACACACCCTTGTCTGTCTCTTTCTCGAGCAGATGTGTTGCAGGATGTAAAGAAAAGAAAGATGTTTCGTGTGCAGTCGTCGATGTTTTTTTCCCAAGCCGTTTAAAGTGAGCATCTACCGCCCAGCTTTTTCTTCATTGCATCCAGCAGTGTAGCAGAAGAAATGATGTCATCATAACATAATCGTGTCTTGTTGTGGCAGACATAAGTTGGCACTCTCTGAAATTTCTAACAGCTTCTCCCACCTCTTTGTTTTTCCAGCTTGGGATCCGTTAAACTGGTCACCTAGAGGACTCATAGAGAGATGAAGGTATGTTCATTCATTTTTTTTGTCTTGCATGTGCTCAGCAGCACGGGGAAGCTCCCATTAGCTCTACTACTTCTGCAGCTCAGTTTCATTCAGCTCTTATGTAAACACGACTTAACCAGAGGAATTAAACGGTTGGATCTTCCTATTAAATGTAAATGTAAACACAGCGTCCTGGATAAAAGCCAGACTAATACAATTGTTTGATGTCCCCGATGTTGAGTTTCTAGTGTCTTCAGCTTGCTTTGCAAATGCAAATTGAAAATTGTAATATTAATGTTGTGCTTTGTTATGTGTTGGCATTGAATTATAAGACGAGAGGGCGTGGATGTGAAGTGATGTATGTGTATGTGGCTCTAAATTTATACCAAAGGTGTGGCTTGTGAACTTCATGATGAGATTTAAGAAAAACTTGGTCATGACATTGTTTTCTTCAGCCTTATTTAGCCTGAAAAAACACAGCTGTCTCTCTCAGTGATTTGAGCTATTTATTCTTGTGTTATAGCTGCAGTTATGACTGCAGGCACTGTCCTAACTTATCATTTGTTGCCACGTGAGTCATTATGCTGCCTCGTAACCTGCAGAGCAATTAGTATAACGCACATGAGTTTTTTTGTGTTTGTTTGTTTTTGTTTCCTGACTCATGTAAGGTAATAGTGATGTGTGAGGAACATAAACCAAGTAGAACAAGAAGTTGCCAGGCTTTGTGATCGGAGAGTTGATAGTGGCCACATTACAAGCAGCTCTGGTAATGATTAGCTACTTTGTTATGCTTATTGTGGTTAATCGGACTAAACCGCCACCCACTAATAAACATGTCACCTTCAGCCAAATTATCCAGTTATTAAAGTGCAAGCAGAAAGAGCAGGGGCATACAAAGATAGATGCCACTTTGATATGTTTGTCTACATCCAAACTAGGGCTGCTCAATTAATCGAATTTTAATCACGATTACGATCTGGGCTTTCAACGATCATTAAAAATGACTGAGCCGATTATTAGCCCCTCCCTCATTTATCCGCAACACCTTAAAGGCCGGTCCGTGAAAATATTGTCGGGCATAAACCGGTCCGTGGGGCAAAAAAAAGGTGGAGACCGCTGATTAAGAGGACCCGAGGGAAGCTCGGAAAGCTAAGCAGAAGTTATTTGGAGAGGAGAGTGACTGCCGTTGGTTGAAAAGAGAGGTTAAAAAAA